CCGGACATCAGCACCCTCAACATTCTCTTGTCATATTAGTTTATATAGTTAAACATCTAGAAGTTACTTGATGGGCAATGCTGAGTATAAGGGAACCGTTGTTTTTTGTGTGTGTTTGTTTGTTTGTTTGATCAAAGAAACAAGCCAACCAATGTGGGATCAGGATCACTGAGCCACATCATCTAGGAACTTGTTAATTCCTCATGGAATCCACCCTCACTTGTGGCAAGTAATAGGAAAGTAAATCTGCCATGTTTATTTCTTGGAAAGTACGTGTATACATGTAATTATTTCCTTAATAATTTCAAGGATGTGTTTCATGAAAAACTGGTCTCTTTGTGTGGTAATAGTGATAGGTAAGTAATTACTGTTTACTTTGATGATTGTTTTCATTTTTAACATTTAAAAGTATGGGACTTGAGAAACGTTGGAAACTAAATCAGTCTGTGATGTTTGCACACCCATTTAAAAGCACCTGACACCACACTGTCAATTTCCATTATGCAAGGATTTTAAAGTGAAATGATTAGATAGGAGGGCCCTTCACTGTTTTATCATATAATTCTAAAAATGAGCCAACCTTTGAAGTGAGCTTTATTCATAATAGTTTTTATTACTGCCCTAAATAAGGAGTAGGTTTGGGGGAGGGAGGGGAACTAATGAAGTGTCCATGTTTGATGTAGCTTGTGCCCAGGTCCAAAGGCTGTGGGTACCTGTACGGATTTTGCCCTGTCTCAGAATTAAGGACTGAGGAGGTCAGAGAAGCCCGAACTCCAGCCTAAATTCTGACTCCCTACCCCAGCCCTATCTCCTGTAATAGCCTCCCTGGCCCACGGGCTTGAACCTTCCCAAGAAGGCACCTTGTTCTCAGCCCAGATGGCCTTTAATGGGGTATAAGCAGAAGTTTCCAGAACTTGCTGTTATTCTTAACCCATCAAACAATTTTAGAGAAAAATCTAGCAGTTAAAGTAGAGTGGACATAGACTTTATGCTTCCAACCTAATGTGAAATTTATCTCCTTAAACAATGCCCACATTTATTGATTTCTTGCACTCAGCTCTCTAAGAGAAATAAGATGTTAAAGATAATGGAGAATTTGTGCTTAAACACAGCTTTCTTGAAGGCTTAGTTTGCTTCTGTCTTCATATATTATTTCCACTCACATCAACAGTGTTGAATACAATGTTTGTCCATAGGTCCCTCTATGCATAAGCTATTTTTCTGATAAAATAATTCATTTTAAATACACTTTTATAGATTGTACAAGCCTATTTTTTGCTTTAGAAAAGTCTATTATGTTGCTTTGGGAATTTTCATTTTATTTCATCTGGAGTTTCTTTTATTAAGAAAGTATTCCTGTCCTATTAGGCAAAAGGTCTCTTCCCCCTTTATTCTGCTGCCAAATACCCATGCTCTAACCTGGAGCCATCCATTCTAGACTTGATGTTTCCTTTTCCCTCTTCCCCATTTTTACTCATCAGGCCTTATATAGCATATAAATAAGTCCCTTAGCACTTCAAGTTTTAACTGCAGGCTTCTAATTGCTCTTTTTGTCACAATTGTCTCCCATATCACAATTCATCCTGCATGTTATAGCTTAGTGGCTCTATCACAGTGATTTTACACTTTTATTGTCCTTCTTAGGGCAAGTTCTGAAGTTTTTCCTAACTTCCATTCTACTTTTACCTCCCATTACATGTATGCACGCTTAAATTCTATGAGTGTTACATGTATACCATGCTATATCTTATGGTTATACTAGAGCTCAGTGTAAGAATCTGGATTTGTGCACTGCTGGGATTCCTCAGCCTAGCTTGTGCCCTCTCACAATCTGGAACCCCTTGAGGGATGTTGGGGGCCTGGTGCATGGATTCATCCCAATCCCCACAGGCCAGGCCAAGGGACCCCACCAGTGCACAAATCTGTGCACTAGGCCTCTAGTATGCATATAAGATCTTTGGTTAATCTCTTCCCATCCTTCCTCCACACCCCTTCCCTCTGAGATTCATCAGTCTGTTCCATGTTTCCATGCCTGTGCATTAAGCATCTGCACCTAATGGTCAGTGTGCATCATAGCTACCAGTCAGATGGTTGGACCGTCACTTAGGCTTTTATATATATTATCTTAAAAGTTACTGTTTTAATTTACTGAGTTAAAAAAAATCTGAGCTGTATAAACAAACTTATCAAAATAAATGAAAAGTTTTTTTCAAGAAAAATGTTGTATAGACTATGACAAGTGGTGGCCATACAACCTGGTTGTTGCTAAATATGGGTTTTTACTTGCCACTTCTCTGAAAACCATTATTAGTGCCTTTAAGTGCCCTTTTGTAAAGTTTCTGTTCTAACACTCAAAGAGGCCATTCCCTGCAGTAGGTCTGTTGATAAGGGAAAGCAGACAGCTGTTGGGCTGTGTGGCAAGCAGCATGTGTATCTGTGGGATGCCTCTGGAAACAAAAAAAGCTGGATTGTCCTGATGGATGTAATTTTAGGAGCCCTGTAGGAGAATTTTTTATGGTCCTTTTCTTTCCTGTACATAATATGCATCGATGATTGTTATGAAATCCAATTTTTATAGCATTTTTAGAAATTCTGAGCCTTAACAATCAAAGAAGTTTTACAGCTATTAGGACATCTTGCATCTACCGACAAGCCATCAAAAATAGCACATCTTTTGTATACTGATATTTCCAGTGTTGCTGCATTACAGGGAATAAGCACATCTTTTGTTGAGCAGCCTCTGAACTATAGACTGCAAAGAAGATACCATTTTACACCCACTTCCCTTATAATACTAGTAATGTTATTTAGTTCCTAACTAGCCTCTCTGTCCCATGAGATTAGTGTCCTTGTTTTCTCTCTATAGATGCTATAGTATGTATTTGATGGCCAAACATGTATTGTCTTGACTGTATACATTTAATCTCTATCACTAACTGTAAACATAGCAAGGGCATTATGCAAAATGAAAGGAAGCAAAGGTAAATTAAATTTATACTTTATTAAAATCAAACAATTCTTGCAACCCTGAAAATTGTATTCAATAACATTACATAACTGTACATTATTCTTTATAAAACTTCAGGTAATGTCTGATTCAAAAACACTTGGACTATATCCTACTGTCAGTGATTTATGAAACTTCTGAAAAACAACTTAATGTTAAATTCATTACCTCCTATAGCCACTACTGGGACATGGCCTTTCTAAAAGCTATCAGAAAGGAGGGATGGCACTGTGATACCATGCCATTGAGAGTCTGCCTCACTAGTGGAATTCTGCATTTTGCAACTTTCTCAGTCCTGGATGTTTTGCTAACAAGAAGTCCAACTAGGTATGCCTCAACTGAAAGGCTGACTTCTTATAGTTCACACTATAGCTTGACTCTCTGTTGCTCACAAATACTTCATTGAGGTGCTAGAACAATTTCTAAGCAGAAGGAAGATGGAGTCCAAAAGGAATAAAAGGGAAAAGAGAAGAAAAGGGAAAAATGCTGATCCTTTATCTCTTCCCAAGAGAAAAATTATATGAAATAGTTGGAGCAACCATGAAATGATCTATATCTTATATTTAAGAACTATAGAATAATGTGATTCCAAGGGGAAGAGTTTGCAATCACTGGGTTATTATAACGAACACTATAACTAATAGTTTTGTTTGTTTTCCATTAAGGTGACATACTTGTTTGATAATGGAGGAACAGTCTTCTTTGCTATTTTTATGGCAATATGGGGTAAGTAATTCTCCATTACTTCCTAGCCCTCATTCTCTGAAGCTATTACTGTATTTCTTTATACACGTATTCGCACATACGCTAACACACACCATGTATCAATTCAACAGTCTATTGCTTTGTTTGTCCTCTTCACATATTTACTGCTTCGTTTGAAATGTATTTCTTGATCTAATTATTTAATCTCTAAAACCTTGAACTTTCCTATACTAAAGAATTGTGTGTGTGTGTGTGTGTGTGTGTGTGTGTATGTGTGTGTTTCATGCCAGAAGCAAATAGTAATTAAAAACAAACTGAGGGGAAGGTCAGTTGGGGGGGGAGGGGGAGAAAGGAGACATATGTGCTACTATTTGTAATACTTTAAACAATAGTAAAATAAAATAAATGGGGAAAAACTGAAACATGCCATAATCCAAGTTATATTTTTTGAAACTGATGCTCAGAACTCTTTTTATTTGCTTAACATTTCCATTTATCTATTTTTAATATCATCATCTATTTAGAGATGCAGAATCTATTCCATATATAATTGATCAATAATATCTAATACATAATAAATTATGTTCCTATCTAACATCTTCAAACTGTAAAAATTATGTACAGGTACAGGCTTTGGCTGACTTTTTCAACAAGTTTCTCATTGAGTTTCAAATTACCAAGTTAATTGAGGTGTAAAGTAAATCAGACAGGTTGGAATTCCCATCCTTTGAAGAAAAGCAATTACTTTCCTGGTTAGGGTCAGATTTCCTAATAGCCCTGTTGAATGCAAAGTAATTGTCAACTTGGCAGTTCAAGGGACTGACCATGTAAGTGGTAAGGCAGCAAAGTAAAATGTACTTTGGAGACAGGTCTCTCACTCCCATTCTCTACATTTCTCAGAAACAGAAGTTCTGTGCCATCTGTCTTTCTAGCTTTAAGTCAAAAAATAAAAAATATATATTTTTTAATTCCAATGCTTCTTCAACAGAATGTCAACTGTGATGCATGGAATTAAGGCTAGGGGGGGAGGGCAGTAAAGAATCAATATATTGATTGATTTTTGGCCGAAACAAAGTAGGAATGTAGTTTTGGTTCTCTATTTTCATTGAAGAAGTTTTTAAATTAAATTATCAAGAAGGGCAATCAAGGTAAAATATTTTAGTTTTATGTGATTCCACAAACACGTTTTACTAAGAAAAAAACAGAATAAAATACAAGTGAAGGTTATTTCACATAAGCTTCAGCATAGCCAAAAAATGGCAAGAAAGGAAACCCCTTGGATGGTTTATCATCTCTTTATGTTTCTGCTACGAGGCTCAGGCTTTTACAGTTCTTCTTGGCACAAGCCATATGACAGATATCTTACTTCAGCTTTTGGAACTTGGGTTGGTGAAAAGGTCAGGATGTAGGCAAACACTTGCCATCTGAAGCCCCTTTCCCCTTAGTTTTATACTGAGGTACGGAGTGCAGGAATGTCATCCATTGGGATACCATCTCGTGCATTTTCTTGACCTGCTGGCATGGATGAACCATTCACAGTTGAGTTGTAATAACTAGCATTTCCAAAACTCACATCATAAGGTTCCGGTGCATTGTCTAATCGCAGAACTAAAAAAAAGTAACAAAAAAAAAAGGTATTTTATAAAAGGTATTTCAGTCACAATCTGAAAGATGCATATGTGCTCAGGCATCTGCCAGACCTTAGGAACTGTTCTAGATGGGTAAGTACATCTGGTCTTTATATGGGCTTTTCAGATACTAGTTTTGAAATTTAAAAGAGTGGATATTTTCAAGCCACATTTCTTTCTAAGACTAACAGAACAATTTAACTTCCAGAATTTCCCTGCTGGTGGAACAAAACTAAAGGAACCAAGGGAACTATTACAACAAACATGTAGTAATACTTTGTATCAGAAAGTATAGACATGTCTCATTGTGTTTGATCTCATGATTTCAGTCTCATCAATTAGTTTAGAATTTTTACTTCTGGTGTGAAAAATAATTTTTTTTAAATGAAGAGCATTAATTTTAAAATTACTGCCATTATTCTAAGCAGTATCTCCATTTGTTTATGGTTGAGCCATTAAACATGGAGACAAGAGAAAACTATTTGTCAAAGTTTGTGTTTCCTGTTGATAGATCCAATGTATCATGTACTTCAGATTTTATGACTGATGATAAAAGATTATTTTCTTTTTCAATAGTCAATTATTAGTTCCTTAATGAGCTTGAACTTATTTTTTTAAAAAAATGAGATACTTTTAAATACTGAAGAAGTGATTAACTACTAGTTAGATTAGCAATCTAATTAATCAGTGAGGTATTTTCATATCCTAACAGTTTCTTCAGAAACTAGCCTCCCAGAAACCTGAGGGATTTGGGAGAGGGTCCCTAATCTGTCTTGAAAGGAATAAAGTAGGTGGTATGATTATTTTCTTATGCCTCAATCAAAATATATCGAATTATATCAATTTAATAGACTGAGCTTTTTTACAGATGATTACAGTGATTACAAATAAAGAAAAAAATCTGAGGTTTAAAAAAAAGTTTGGAGACCCATGTTGTTCAAAATCATATTCTTTTATTTTGAAAAATGCCACTTTTTAAAATATGCGTTGCTAGGAATCCATAGACAGAATTTAGTGTGTGTGTGTGTGTGTGTGTGTGTGTGTGTGTGTGTATGCAAGAGTCCCTGCTGTAAACCAGAAAAAGTTGTGATTTTTTCCCTCCAGAAATTTAAGAAAGGGAAGACTCGAGCATTTGAAGTGACTTTATTTGTGTTCTATAGATTGTGTTATTCTTATTCATAGCAGTTAAATTTTTTATTCATAGGTATTATGGTTCTTTTTCATTACATGGATTTACTGAATTAAGGTAAATTGGGACTTATGTAGCAAAATATGCAACTCATTAGAAATCCTGTTTTAGAGGTGCATTAAAATAATTAATATGAGGTTACTATAGCTGTAATTTTTTTGAAGAGTTCCTATTAGAATATGTTTTTGCTCAAATTACTGCTACTAAACAACAACAATGACAAAGGATGATTTTGCAATCACTTACTAACAAAAATGCCCTTTTTTCTTATTATCATACCATTATCTTCCAATTTTATAGATTTATTTTAGGTTATAAGATTATTACTTAAAATCAATTGTCATGCAATGAGCAACAGTTTCAACTATTTAAAAAAATTTTTAATATATTTCCATTACTATTTGAGAAACAGAGAGTAGGTCAGAATAAGTCTTTGGTCTGTTTTTATTGTATGAATCTCTGAGCACTGTCTAGAAAATGTAATGACCATTAGCAATCCCCACTTAATGAAAGTTCTGAAGGTGAAGTTCTGAGATTTGTTTTTACCTGGTTCATTTCTATCATCATAAAGTCGCCGATGAGAAAATGAATTTGTTTTCCGTTTTCCACACAACAAGTAGCCAACAAGACTAAGCAAGGAAGCACCCAGAATAGCACCTAAAATGGCCCCAAATACTATTCCTGTATTTCTATTCTCTAGAGAGAAAAAAACAAAAACAAAAAAAGAATTTACAAACAAGAAATAGAAACAATTGTTCAAAGTACAGACATATATACATGTGTATCACAAAGAATACTTAACTTTTTTTAAAATATTAGATAATGCTGATTGTGTGTGTGTGTGTGTGTGTGTGTGTGTGTGTGTTATAAAGTACTGAATATTTTGGATATATTGGCAAAATATACTTCCTGATAAAACCACACCTTAAATATTGAATTATTTTTAATTACTTCTAAGTCCTAGTTTTATAATTATGTTCATTACTCAACCACACTAATAGTACTGAAATGCCATGAGTGTGCTCCATTAGTACATAATTTCTATGTTGAATGCTATATTATTTTTAATCATTTCTAAATCTCTGATGAACTTTAATGGTAAAATGAACTTTGAGGTTGTTTCTATTATAATTTGAAGGTAAAAAGTTAATAGGAGAAAGTGGGGAATAGGAAATGAATCCACAAAGCTCAAAGAGAAAAGGCATTGTAAGGAAAAATCAGAATAATGGTCAAAGCAATATATTGTCAGTGCTTTGCACATAGGAACAGATGTGTAGGTCCGAGTTTAAGAGAACCCAAAATTTCACACTATCATTCCCTTTACTAATTACCTTATTTGAAGACTATCATCAGTAAACTACTTACTGCTCCATGAACTCAAACTTAGTGTATTTTATTTTTAATGTGTTTTTTTAAAATTTCTTGAGAAGCTTACTAATTAGGTAGGTAGAGGGTCTTAAAGAATCTCTGGTTCTATATGAAACCCTATATATTTAAAAAATTAACCTTCACACTGGAAAGTTAACAAAATTATTACTAAAACAAAAATGTAGCAAAGTTACCTGGTAGGAATAAGTAATATGTACTTAATATATATTTTAAATTTAGAGACAAAACAGATAGTATTTTTTAAGCAATATATTTCTGAAGGTATATTAGAGTATGTATAAATGAAACTGATATGATTAAATTAAAACTAACTGGGCATGTGTGACTCAGTGGTTGAGGGTTGAGTGTCAACCCATGAACCAGGAGGTCATGATTTAATTCCCCTTCAGGGTACATGCCCAGGTTTTGGGCTCAGTTCCCAATAGGGGACATGTAGGAGGAAGCTGATCAATGATTCTCATCATTGATATTTCTATCCCTCCTTTTCCCTCTCTGAAATCAATTTAAATAACATTTAAAAATTTTAAATTAAAGTTAAAATGAAAATATATATACATACAATACATTAGTTGCAGAGCTATAGTTAAGCCTAGATTTCAGAATTTAAAACTTCCTATTCACTGGCAATAACTTCAAATAGGAATAACAACTTCAAATATGCATATATATGTATATATATGTATATATATATTAGTAAATATAGATATATAGATATATAGATATCAATATATAGATGATTTAATGTTTATATAATTAATATAATCTGTAAATAAGTTCTGTTGGAAATTGGCAAGTTCATAAGGAACTAGTATATTTTTAAGTTTCAGGGAAGCAGAAACATGGTTCGACCTGAAAAAATAAATTATAATGAATTTTCATTAAACATTAGCAATCTTTTTCACTTTATGTATTAAAGCTTGATGTAATAATCCCTAAAAATGAAACATAAAACTGTCCCCGTATTACAATTTTCTTGTGGTGTCCTTAAGTACTAAACTAAAAATTGAGGATTTCCTTTTGTTGAATTTATTTACTGTTTTAAAAAATATCAGTGTTCTATTTTCCAGTGATTATGTGGTAATTTTCAAAACCTACATTTACATATTTTTAAAGTTCAGTTGCACAGTGTTCTTAAAAGTATATGAAATTTCAGGTAGTCTTTCTAAAATTCGGTAAAAAAGGTTACACAGTATCTACAAACTGTATTGCTACTTCAGTCTTTTCAGCCTACCCTACTCCTCATTTTGTCCCACTTATGTATATGCTGACTTTAGTTCTAAAATCCCTTCACTATTTCCAGTGAATATCATGATTAGCCTTAAAGGGAGAATCACCTGAGCTACAGTGACCGCCTCCTTTTCTTTAGTTATTGGGGTGGGGGATCTTTTCTCTGCCAAGGCCATTTGGATAGCTATAACATAATTCAAGGGCCATATAAAATTATTAACTTAAAAATTAGCCTGCTACATTTGGTCAAACATTTAATTAACTCTCCCTAATGCCTTGGGCAAGGCCAGACCAAATTTCCTGGGCCTTATACGGCCTGCTGACTGGACCTTCCTAGCCCCTACTAGTATTGCATAGTCTATAGTTGTAATCTGTTTGATTTACATGGAGATTCTTTCACATCAAAGGAAAGTTAAATTTGTTTATATTTACCTTCTTGGGGATCTGATGTATTTGGAAAGATTTTTGAATTATTGGTGAATTTTAAGGTGGGCTGTTGAGTCATTTCCTGATAGGGGGTAAACTCCACAAAGGTATCATTAGTAATGTTAAGCCATAAATCTGGTTCCGTTGTCATGGGGTTTGTGGTGGTCAGTGCCGAGGGAAGGATGCTAACTGTAATGGAACTGTTGTCAGTTTTCATGGTATCATTGGCCAGGGACCACACTGAGGATGCAGCAGATGTAGCATTGGGAGGTGATGAGACAGACAGAGAATTTCCATCTGTTGCAGATGAGTTCTGAGGCAGTTTAGAAACAAAGCTGTGGATCAAGGAAGTGCTTTCAGAAGATGCAGGTGTGGGTCTTGGACTCCTGGGGGAATTTGTTGTCAAATTATCCATAAAATCTGTTGTTTCATCACTTTTATTTGATGGATCCCAAAGAGAGGAATTTCTTGTCTTGGGACTGGAAGTTTCTATATTTTCTTCACCTAAGTTGAAATCTGCTCCACTTCTCCAAGGAAGATATTGTTTTGCCATGTGTTTTAAGTCTTCTGCAATATTTTTTGTTGTGTTTACTTCCAGACTTTCTTTCCCATGGCTTACAAATAATAGTAAACTAAACAAGGTTGAAAGCAATAGAGTTTGGGCTGAGGTCAACATTGTAGCCTTCTTTGGTATAGGGGAATCTGAAAGAAAATAATAACCATTTGAATTATTAAATAAAAATCTACATTTTTAAATGGTTAAAAGTTTATATACATAATGCTGAGATGATGATATCATATTCTCAATTCCAAAAGTTTGTTTTCTTTGAATAATGTACTAAAACTAGAATAACTGAATTCTATATTCTATATAACATTTTTTTTTCTTCCTATAAGGAAATGCCCTGAAGAAACTTTGTCAGGCCAGACACTACTATTCCATTATTTCAAGGATTATTTAGCTTGGGCCAAGTTAAACAAACACACACACACACACACACACACACACACACACACACACTATATAGACTGCTAAGTAAAATTTTTAAAATATATTTTTTAAATATTATAAATATAGTATATGCAGAGCTGGCTGATTTTTTTCAACCTATTTAGGAAAACATCCTATCTAATAAAGAATGAATATGTTAATTGACTGTCACACCCTCACAAGATGGTGGCACCCAAAGCCAATAAAAAGGTAATATGCTAAATTGCTGCCACACCCCCATAAGATATGGCACCCAGTCCCCTCAGCCCCGCCTCATCCAGCCTGTCTCCCAGTCCCCTCATCCCTGCCTCATCCAGCTGGAGCCCCCAATCTTCTTAGCCCTGTCTCATCCAGCCTGAATCCCCCAGTCCCCTCAGACCCACTCACCTAGTCCCCACAGCATCTAGACTTATCCAGCCTCAGTCCCCAGTCCCCTCAGCCCTGCAGGGGAAGGCAGTTGGGGGTGATTGGATTGAAAGGGGCAGTTATGTATCAATCAGGCTGGCAGGGGAGTTGTTAGGGGGCTATCAGGCTGGCAGGCAGTGGTTAGGGGCAATCAGACAGGCAGGCAGGTGAGTGGTTAGGAGCCAGCAGTTCTGGATTGTGAGAGGGATGTCTGGCAGTCAGACATCTCCTGAGGGGTCCCAGATTGTAGAGAGTATAGGCTGGGCTGAGGGACATCCCCCACTGAATTTTATGCACCAGGCCTCTAGTGTTCATTATAAAGATGTTATTTGGAATATTATAAAAATGATGTTACTGAATATACACTAAATGAACCACTTTAAAGTGAGTCAGTCAGGGACCCCACTTGAAAAGATTGTATTATACCTAATTTGAGTTATTTGAATTTGAAATTAACATCTGTTTTTCAAAATACTTTTTATGATGCCCTCCATTCTATTAATTTCAGATTAGGGAAATCAGAAATATTTTTATATTTTAAGGTATTTTTAAAATTATATTTCCTTATTATATCAATGAAGGATATGATTGGGAGTGTATGTGGAATAAATTACTTAGCTAGAGAGTAGCAAAGATGGGATTTGAAACCATATTCCTGACCTCCAACCCAGGCACATAATTTTGCCTATAAGTGTGGAAGTGCCACAAATTCATGCTAGCAGGATAAGGGGAGAGGTTTTTGAAATTAGATTTATATTAAAATGTAGGCATCTGTCATGAATGATCTATGAAAAACAGTTATCATAACATGCAATTGCTTTATCATTTTCATCATCACATTATAATTACACTGATTTCACATTGTTGTTCTAAATTGAATGATTTGAGTAAATCATTTCAGATTAGAGCAATTTATAATCCCATTTTTCAAACACTGGAAAAATAGGGTCTTCTACCTTAAGTATCTCTCAAACACACTAAACACTATCTGGCCTAAAATAAGCAGTTAATAGACATTAACTTCATTTCTTATTATCTATACTAATAAAAGGGTAATATGCTAATTAGAGTGGATAGACCAGACATCCTTCCAGACAAAGCCACTGTGGCAGGGGCCGAGGCATAGATGGTTAGGGGTGATCAGGCAGGCAGGCAGGTGAGTGGTTAGAAGCCAGTGGTCCTGGATTGCAAGAGGGATGTCTGATTGCCGGTTTAGGCCTAATCCCTGCAGGTTTGGGCCTAAACCGGCAGTTAGACATCCCCTGAGGGGTCCTGGATTGGAGAGGGTGCAGGCCAGGCTGAGGGACCCCTCTCCCAGGCACAAATTTCATGCACTGGGCCTCCAGCCTATATATATTATATATAAAAGCCTAAGCAACTATTACGACCGGAGCAGCAGGTTAGCCAGTTGCTATGATGCACACTGAGCAACAGGGGGCAGACACTTAATGCCGGAGCTGTCCTCTGGTGGTCAGTGCACTTCCACAGGGGGAGCACTGCTCAGCCAGAAGTCAGGATCACAGCTGGCAAGCACAGCTGCACTGGTGGGAGCCTTTCCCAACTCTGCGGCAGTGCTTCCAAGCAGTAGTGGCAGGGCCAGTGAGCCAGGATGAGTGCGAGCAGTGCGCGCCGGTTCAGGCTCCTTCCTGGCCACCTGCCAGTTGGCACACTGCTACATTCTCGAGGGGTCCTAGATTGTGAGAGGGTGCAGGCCAGGCTGAGAGACACGCCCCTCGCCTCCCTGTGCAATGAATCTGTGCACCAGGCCTCCAGTTAAAATTATAATCTCTAAGTGTTTTGCACTGGACAAAGTTCATAATATCTCACGTGATCATCACAATGATCCCTTCAGATAAAAAGAATAGCTTGTATTAATTATCCCCATTTTGCAGATGAAGAAACTGAGAGGTTCAGAGTGGCTAGTAATGGAAGCTAGTAAATGAAAGAGGCAACACTGAAAAGCAAGTTTACTGACTCCAACCTTATTAGCTGCTAAAATGAAAAATGTTTTTCATTGAAACAATTATTATTTATTTATTTATTTTCAAATATATTTTTTATTTATTTCAGAGATGAAGAGAGAGATAGAAACATCAATGATGAGAGAATCTTTTATCAGCTACTTCCTGCATGCCCCACATTGGGGATCAAGCCTGTACCTTGGGCATTTACGCTGAAAGACTATTGAACTGTCACCTCCTGGTTCATAGGTCAACCCTCACTTCCTGAGCCATGCCAACCAGGCAAAACAGTTATTCTTTTTTAAAAATTAGGCTTTTTTTCCTCCTTAAAAAGTCTGAAAACTTATTTTATATTCTTTGAATTAAACCTCAGAGCTTATTTTTCACTAAAACTCTCCAAAATGACTGAGAAGAAAAAGGAAGAGGTGCTACTGCTATAATTTTGTCCATTATTACCAGCTATTTTTAAAAAAAAAAAAAAAAAAGCTCTCCCAGAAATTTTTTACAACTACTTTCAACCTTCATGACTTTTCAGTAGGATCTGAAGAGCTTCTAAGTAACGCTCTGGTTTTGTCATCCTCCTTGTGTAATGATTTCTTGCATAGTGGTACAACTTAAATATACCTATAATACATCCTGCTATACTTTTTTCTTCAAAAGCTTTTAGCAAGAGATCCATACTTGTGGATTCCTGAGGTTTTAGTATATAGTATATAATATTATCTCTCATGCCCTATATTAATCACTTCAGAAAAACCTCTTTTTAAGCAAGGCCAGCAGACATATATGAGCGTTCACAGGGGCGTTACTTATACATGTCTCCAACCTAAACATCCATCACTAACAGAATGGTTAATCAATTGCATAAATTCATGTGTGAAATTAAACTAGAGCTGCATACAGAAATAGGAGTGATTAGCAGAAATATGATTCACAGCTGAAATGCCAGTTGTACTGGTGATTCTCTGTATATAAAGTTCAAAAACAGGCAACACTCTCAAATGTTAGAGGTCTGGAAAGTGGTCACTGGAGAGGAAGTATTGTGTGGGTATGGAAAAAGCTTCTCTGTGCTCAGGATGCTCATTTCTTGACCTGATAAGGGATACATGGGTACCTGTATTTGTGGTAATTCTGTTTATTTACACTTCATTTACTTCTTTGTCGTTACCAAGAAAATGGATTTAGGTCTTAAAAATAACTGGAAAACATATTGCTATTAAGCATTTATTATATCATATGTTTTGCATGTTTTTCCTTTAATTCTTACTAAAAACACAATGAGAAAGGGATTATTAATGCTATTTAACAGGTGATTAAATGGTGCACAAAATGTAAATAATATGACCAAGGACACACAACTAGGGACACAATAAAAAAAAATAGGGTTAGCCCAGCTGGCATGGCTCAGTGGTTGAGCTTCGACCTATGAACCAGGAGGTCATGGTTTGATTCCCAGTTAGGGCACATATCTGTGTTGTAGGCTTGATCCATAGTGTGGGGCATGTAGGAAGCAGCCAATCAGTGGCCCTCTTTCATTATTTTTTTAAAATATTTTTGTAATTGATTTCAGAGAGGGAGAGAGAAAGAGAAACATCAGTGATGAGAAAGAATCATTGATTGGCTGCCTCCTGCATGCCCTTCTATTGGGGATTGAGCCTGCAACCTGGGAATGTGCCCTTGACTGGAATCAGACCTGGGACTCTTCAATCTGCAGGCCGACCCTCTGTCCACTGAGTCAAACCAGCTAGGGTGGTCCTCTTTCATTATTGATGTTTCTATATTTCCCTCTCCTCTCTTCTCTGAAATCAATACAAATATATTTTAAAAAAGGAAAGAAATAGGGTTATGATTCAAATATTGGCATTAAAGCTAGTATTCACTCAACTATGTCAGAAAAGTTACAAAGGAATACAGAATTTGGTACTTAGCTGTTTAATAGAATTCTTCTCAACATTGTCTTAGCACAGCTTGTACAAATTTTATTTTAATCAGAGCAATTTATAATCCCATTTTTAAATACTGGAAAATAGGGCCTTCTACCTTAAGTGCCTCTCAGACATACTAAATACACTTTTATCCTAACTTAAGAAAATTGTAACAATTGTCTCTATGTGCTCTAGATAGACACCTTTACCGTGTAGTTTACAGATTAGCATTAACAAAACAAGTGATTTCCCCCCGATCTGTGTAAGCTCACCAACATTGCATTAAACCGATGCCTTACCTAGTACATTTAAAATACTCACATAGACCTTTTGAAAAACACCCTTCTCTGGTGAACTCTGTCAGGTTTGTGGCAAACATTATAGGGGTGTTTTTTTTTTTGGGGGGGGGGGGGTTTTGGTTCGTTGGTTGTTTGTTATCTACTACCAGAGATCTGATTAGTTTATGGACTGTACTTGGGCTATATTATTATTATTATACAGTTTGACATGGGTTTGCTGGATATTTTATCTTCCTAATGAATTGGTTACTAGAGGGGAAAATATATCTTAGCTGATCCTCTAACTTTCTCATAATGTTACAGGAGAAACATGGCATTGACTTTTCTTGTTCCCTTCCCGTAATGAGAATCCACATATCAGGAGTCAACAAAGTGAGTTTTGTTGTTCCTGTTTCCCTTTGCTTGTAACATTGAGCAACCTAGAGGATCTCACTACCCTTCACCCAACTTTCAACTGCAATATGAAAACCCAAGATATGAATACCCCAAATGGGCTAAGCATTCTGTTATTGCGTATAAGTTATCTCCAAGGAAAAGAAAGGGCAGAGAGGAATAAGACAGAATGCTGTAGCCCTGGCCAGCTGGGCTCAGCAGACTGGCCAGCAGACTAAAGGGTCCCAGGTTCGATTCCAGCCAAGGGCACATGCCTGGATTCTGGGCTCGATCCCCAGTGTGGGGAGGAGGGAGGCAGGAAGCAGCCAAACAATGATTCTCTCATCATTGATGTTTCTATCTCTCTTTCCTTCTCCCTTCCTCTCTGAAATCAATAAAGAATTATATATTTTTAAGTAAAGAATGCTGTAAATACTATTTGCAGTTTATTCCTAAATTAATACCAGTGTGGGTAAGGCCTTTGTGAATATTGATTTATTCATGTTGTCCAAGTGTAGCAATGGGGGACAACTTTGCTTCTGTTCCTTGGTTTCTAAGAGAACCACGTTATAACTCTTCCGAACCTGGTCCCTTCATAGAAGCAGCCAGGAATTTAATCTTAGCCCCAGACTTTTGTTGAAGCAAAGACTAAGCAATTTTATTTACATTCAATCTATTCTGAATTGAATAAGTGTGTTGTTAGCAGCAAAAGCTCATGGAAGGGGTACAGGAGATCCAGAAGGCAATGAAATAAAAGTTTACTCTTTCTCTTTGCACTTTTCTCTCAACTTGTCTCCATCTTTAGAATTCAGATACTTACAGGATGCTGCATACTTCTTACATAAAATTAAGTTATGCCTGATGATGGATGGCATGCTTGTGTGTGCTCAAATTCATCTATCAACCAGGAACAGTGTGTAGAGGGAGACAGAAAGTGGGATGAAGAAAAGTGAAGTTGTCATAAAAGAGAAGTTAGAAATTCAGAACAACCAACCAGATAGCATCATTCACTCACCTTTTCTTTGCTCCTTTTGCCTCTAGGTGGGAATTCCCAAGAGGAATGTTGAGGATGTAACATAGGAACAAAGCTGAGATCATTACAAACCCCAAAAAACTTCTAAGATTAGAATTATCAATCATAAAGGGAACAGAAGAAGTTAATATCCATCCACTTTGCAATAGCTTAAACACAAATTCTAATCATATATATATATATATATATATATATATATATATATATATATATTGAAATGTTTGTGTTTGGAGGAAACATGATCATTCTTTATTTCTAGTATTTAATAACTTGTAAAATATACTTTCAGAGAGTATGAGTTTCACTGTTTTTGAAATAATTCCTTTACAGGAGAAAAAGAACACCATTTTCTTCCTTTCTCTGGTGCTGGCACTAAAAGTGGTTTCACATTACTACTTTGCATGGAGGGCTGCAAAGAGAACACCCAAGTTAGCAGGTGATGGGAGAAATAAAGAGAGAAAGCAACTGTGGCCATTAAGGGAGGCAAATCCACACTCTTGGTACATAATTTTGCTTCTCCTTAAATGCATAAAGTCATTATTCTGCCCAGCGTCCCTGTTCTGAGTCATACCTATTTTATACCAAGCTTTGGAAGTAAGGAAGTATCCTGCTTTGTGTCAGGTAATCAACCCTGCCAAGGGAAGAAAAATGGTAGTCATTCTAAACTCAATCAAATCCAGAAATTTTAAATAAAAGCATTAGTTCAGGTACACTGAGGGGATAATATAAAAACATGTTTTTGTAGTGAAATAACTAAAGAGTATTTACTATGCTTTTACTTCTCTCTCAGTTGCTTTTGATCACATCTAGTTATATCTTTCTAGTTAAAAAGCTTTCGTTCTACAAAGTAAGACAGATGGGTTTTATTTGTCTTTGTCATGGGAAACTCAGTCTGACATGTAGCCAGTGTCCCAGGCAAACCTTGAGTGTCACTATGTGTGGCTTTTCCAATCCTGGGCAGTATTTTATTTTTCTTACATGAAAGAGCCACAATAAATGAGGACATAAGAATGATGCCTCTATATATGCCTCTTTTATGAATGGTGAGAAGACTTAACTAAGCATAACGCGTAGCTGAGAACTATAAGCACATCACTGTACTTTTATATGCTTTAAAAGAAAAGGGGGAATGGGAGAAGAAAAGAAAAAAACACACACAAGTTTCAGGAGTTTGTGAACATTATCTAATTTAAACCATGGTATGCATAAATACTGAACAAAACATATAGACAGTCATACTCCCTGCTAACTTGAGTGTTCTTAGTCATAAACGTCAACACTGAAATAATTAGGTAAAAGAGTATCATGCCTAGAAAGAAAGAATGATCATGTTTCCAAAAGAAATATTCTGAACCCAGATTCCCAAGCATGGGCTTTGCAGTCTTCTGTTAAGTTTCATTGTCTAGAGAAACAGCTTCTATGCATCAAATAGAATGTGGGTGAACAGTAAACCAACATCTCATATAGGAACCTTACATAGCTACAACTGAAACTAATTTTAAAAAACTGTATTTATATATTTATTCCTTGGGATGCCTTCTGTAGCAACTGACTTAGCCTTTCTATCTCCAATGAGTGGTGGACATGTGTACCCACCATACTAAGTAAAGCATACACACAATATTTTACCAATCTTTAAAGAAAATCTTTGGGAATGTAATTCATTGTATTAGAGAACTGTTGTTTTAACTATCATATTCCAATACTACTTTATCAACAACCTTGAAGCCCAAATGCATAATTTAAATCTAAATATCAATTTCTATTCCTGCTACAATTTCCACTTTAAATGTTTTAAAACATTTACTAAGATATGACCTGAAGACTCTCCTAGTCTTGTATGTTTTTAGTAATGTTTTCATTTTAGCTCTTCAGTCGGGTTTAGTCATCTAGCAAATTTGGCAGTAATTCTTAAAGTGAACTCACCTGACAGTGCAAATGCTCATTTTGAAGGTAATTACTTATTGAAATAGCTACCTGGCTTTACAAAGGTCTTTGCAGCTACTTCTCCCAGACTGTTCTGACAAAAGTTGAGCTCATTTTTATTCTCTTTGGAAAAATCAATGAAAGAGAGAGCAGCAGACAGACAGACACAGGGTTGGGGGAGGGAAAGAGGGGTTCTGTGTAACCCAGCACCCAGCACAAACTTACCTTCAAGTCTAGGAGGTTGTTTACAAACAGGAACTGAAATGTCACAGCTGTCCTGGCTAAAATGAGTCTGCCCTGCATTAGAGAAAGCAGATGGGTTAAATGTGGCGCCGTCCCACTAAGCAGGAGGGTGGCAGAGAAACAAAATTAGGAGGAGCTGGCTGTATCTTGCTTGTGTAATGCAGCACCCAAGAACCTGACTGACCTGCTTCTCAGCTGTCAGCATGAAGATACCACCTCCATTCAGACCTTAAAAAAAATAAGTCCAACCCTCCAGCTTTCATAGGTTGGTTGTTTTGATTTCAGGGCAGGCTAGTTGTCTTAAGCAGTGGCAAAACAAGGGGCACTTATTTCTAGCCCTAAGTAAAATAAGGACAAAGACTTTGGTAAGGTCCTTGGAGTATCAGGAAATTCTGACCCATGCTGGGTTCCCACTTTGCAGGTGAGGAAACCAAAAGGAGTCACGCCCCACACCTGTTGCTGTGTGTCAGCTGCATGTCGTTCTCTTGACTCAGAAACAAATCTTTCTTTCCCCGAGAAGGATGTTTTCTCTGTGAACTTAAAACCTGAGTGGAGAAAATGTAGTGGACTCAGTAGCGAGGAGCCTGGTCTGCAGTGCAGTCAGATCAGTTTTAGAAAGTTACACATAACACAAAGTGAATTGAGGCGTATTGGAATCCTTTTGAAAGCTGTAAGCTTTACGTTAGAAATAATCACCGGGACTGAGATGGGATGTGTTGCTGACTTTCAGAAGTCTGGCGAGTACCTGAGCCAGTCTCAAAATGGCCACATGATCCTGAGTAATCCTGGGAGCTTTCTCGGTTAAGTGGTTTCCACCCTGTGTTCTCTCTGCTTTTACTCTCAATTCAGAAGCTGGAGAGTTTCAGAAGTGCCCAGGTAATGCTTGATTAAATACGAGAGTTGAATAACAACCTGGCACACTTCCTTCACTTCCTTTCAAGGCTTATGAAAGGGAGAAGAGTGAAACTGCGCTTTCTGGGATATTCTGCACATCAATATTTGGGGGCTGGCGCCAAGAACTGTTCAACTCAGTATGCCTGAGGTTCATGCTTAGTTTCTGTTGTGCAAGGAGATAGGTTTCCAGTTGCTGAGAGAGAAAATGAAACTTTAGCTAAGGTCCAGGAGCTAAGGGTTGAATGCAAAGAATCTGCCCAGTTAATTGGCCCCAGGAAAGAACAAGGTAATTCTATAGTTTCCAATTTTCTGAAGCCCAAAGGCCCTTTTAGAGTTTGATTATAAATTAAGCCAACCCCTAAAAAAAATGTTCTCTCAAAGGATATTTAAGCTGTAACTGCACTGTATGAATAAAAGCAAGTTAAATTTAATCAAACAGTTGGTTACTAAGCAATGGCTTAATAGAATTCAATTGGTTCTTTTCAGATCAGTCAGTTACTAGGAAAAAAAATTCAACTGAAGACATATTTTATATCCGAACTTAAAGAACCAAACGTGACGTGGCAGGATTGGGTGTGCCACCCCCTTAGGCATTTTCCTAGGTACATATATGAATATCATTACCATTTTTTGTCTTGACCATTAATGATGGCCTATACTAAACATAGAAATTACAAGGCAATTTTGCTAAAGTTCTCTGCTTTCACTGCCCTATGGCCTCAGAATCCTTTTTATCATTGCCCTCTTGACAATCGTAACCAAGTGATTAGAACTGACCCTAGAGATAGACCCCATGCACCCTCCTCTAATGAGCATACCGAAAGAAAGTTAAAAATGCAAACTATGGGTAAATTTAATGCTTTAGTTATTACTTTGCTCATTTAGTTGTGATCAGAAACCTTTTTGAAATCACCTGAGTTGAAGTTAAAAAGGATTTCCTTAGCAAACAAGTCTCACTTCAATACATTTCCAGGTACATACCATGTTCTAGGAAAACTATTTTCATATTGGATCTTGTTTCGACAGATTAACTCAAGCAGCTGAGATGACATGTAATATAATGCTTAAATATTTTCTTTTGTCATTACCTACTGTGGTGCTTTCTATCTGGCACTACTCAACTGCTTCACACCCATTAATTAAGTTTCACAATACATATTGGAAGAAGAAACACCTTCTCTTTGTCTGAAATGGTGGAACCACTCACAAGTGGACTTTCCAGAACACGAAACACATATTGTTACTAACAGGTCTGAAAATAGATCATGTCTCAAAATCAAAACATTGTTCTAGATTTAAGATGGTATTTATTTTTATTTTTTTTAAATCCTATCTCATAGTATGGGTGATGCTGATGTCACACACAGGGAATCTGTTTCCATAGATCCAATTCATTAATAGCATGTGATGAGTTTGAAACAATATAAACTAAATTCGTATTTTCTTATCTATATAGAAGCATGGATACCAAGTAACAAAGACATATTATTTTATTAATAAAAAATAATTAACAATGGTTATATATTTTATGATATTCATTATAAATACAATGGACATTGATGACTAGAGAATTTATTTAGGGATCATAATAGTTGTTTCAGTATTCAGTGGGAAGAGAAATAGAGGGGTCATTCTCACCTAATAGTTGTTCAACAAACAAGCTTATATTTTTCCTATTAAGTTGCAGGGTGTTATGATATGGTCTTCTTCATTTGACTAACTTTATGAAAAAGTTAAAAACTCCATTTTGGCCAAAACCGGTTTGGCTCAGTGGATAAAGCGTTGGCCTGTGGACTGAAAGGTCCCGAGTTCGATTCCGGTCAAGGGCATGTACCTTGGTTGTGAGCACATCCCCAGTAGGTGGTGTGCAAGGGGCAGCTGATTGATGATTCTCTCTCTTCGATGTTTCTAACTCTCTATCCCTCTCTCTTCCTTTCTGTAAAAAAATCAATAAAATATTTTTTTAAAAAAACACAAAAAAACCCCTCCATTTTGACTGTTAAAAGCTTTCTAGATATATGCCTTTATTAAGTAGAAGTTATCATATAGTGTGTGTACAAATGGGGAGCTAAAGAAATCTTATAAATCTTCTAAATCACATAGAAACTTTAATTCAGCCATGGTTCAAGGAAGTGAATGACATAATTATAGTAAAACCTATTGCATTCCTATCAACACATTTATGTCAACGTGTTTTCTTGGTAAATGTCTTTATAAATATAATAAACTAGAATAGAGTTGATGCTGAAACCCATCTAATTGGAAAAAGAACTAAAAGATACCTGAATTAATTGAAAAACAAACATGATATCCTTAAGAGATATTTTTATAATGAAATCTTAGATTTTATGTTTAATATTTATCAAATTTTAGAATAAATTCTATTGTTTTATTATTATTAACTAGAGGTCTGGTACACAAAATTCATGTACTGTGCCGGTGTGCCTCAGCCTGCACCCTCTCCAAACTGGGACCCCTTAAGGGATGTCTGATTGCCAGTTTAGGCCTGATCCCTGCTGGCCTGATTGGGGCCTAACTGCTCCCTTGCTGGCTTGATCACCCCAAACTGCCCTCCCCTGCCAGCCTAATCACCCCCAACTGCCCTCTCCCATGCCAGCCCATTCTCCCACTCAAATCTGTGAATCTTGAAGGAGGAGAGAGAAAAATTATCTTGAAGTAACAACGAGGAACCAGAAATTCACTACCTCATCTTCAGTACCTATTAGTGTGGGCGGCAAATAGCCACCAGCTAAGAATGCCACATGGAAAGTGGAGTTTCAGGAGCATCTCAGGTTTCAGTTAGAGCAAGAAGGTGAGGGAACATAAAATACTTTGCTATTGATGATGGAGTAAAAGAGGACATAGTAAAAATATCTCAAAGTGTTGGAAGGAGTGGGGATGTTCACAGAGGCAAACCCCATTTCTCTAGAATTAGAGGATTAAAATCTGAGGGGTAAGAGATGATATGAAATTTTTGGTCTTTTTGAGGTAACTGATATGAGTACAGTTGAAGAGCACAGTAATTTAATACTGGTGGGTCCAAGTGTGAGTTAGACAGGATATAAAGGCGTGTGTGGGATATGGGTACGGGGACATCTTGCCAAGATGGAGAGTTCTGGGTTTCCTCCACAGATGAGTTCTTGTGAATCTTGTGAATCTTGAAAAGTGCAGCCTTTTATTCCTAGTACCCAAGAAGCAGCAGATAATATTGCTCTCTTTAGCATAGACAAGATATTGTGTTGTGTGGGAATTGCACATGACTGATTCATTCCTGGATAATGGAGTATATGTTTCCTTATTCTACAATAGAATCCTAAGTTAGTTACAGAGTATAACCTCTTTAGATTATGGTTGGCCAATTAATCAATTATGTAATCAATTTTATATGGGTTTAAGTTAAAGATACAACCAGGCATAAATATAATATAAAGATGGCAAAAACTAGCAGATTGATAATATTATAACTTATTTTGCCACCATTAGGAAAAAAATCTAAGTGATTTATTAATGCTTTCTAAAAATATGTATTAAGTTAGATAATTAGAAAATTCTAGCATCTCTAAATTTGTTTCCTTCTGATTAGAAAGTTATAATAATTAAACAACAACCTCAGCAGCAACAATGCACAGAGTTGATTTGCTGTTTTTTTTCCTGCACTGTGCCATAACCTGGAGAGGGGCAGAGTGAGGGGATGGTGAATGAAATAAAAGTGCCTTTTTTTTCCTCTAGCATTTTGAGTTATTGAAAATGAGGGGGGAAAAGACCTATCTAGGTCTCTCCACTCTGAAAATTCTGGATTTGTTCCTTGGTTCAAAATCTGTGGCAGAAGAAAAAGAAAACTTTTTCATGACCTGAAGATTTTGAAATCAAGTTTACTGACAGCAAAAACAATGACAAGTAGCTTTCACATCCATTTAAAGGACTAGATGGCCCTAAACACTTTGTAGAGAATAATGCAAGCATGTGTTTATAACTACAGAAAAATATTTTTTTGTGCTGAATCTGGAAAACCTTTCAAAAGAATGACTGAGATGTAAATCCTTTGCTTTGAATAAGTACATTAAACCAGTGACCTGCCATAGGGTAGTGGTTTCTACCAATTGATCATGCTAGGGTCGGGATAGTTGATCAGTAGTCCTGATGTCAGCCATGGTATAGCTTCATATGATTTGGCTGATTTCCTAGGTGAAACATAATTGAAGCCTAGATGTTATCTCTACTTTGAAGGAAATTCTGTCACTGGGGTCAACAGACCAAGGCTTTATTCTAAAGATTACTTGATACTGACCAGAATCTTGTTTTACTGAGGCCTTAA